CAATGACTCCAAGATCCCTTTCAGCCACCGTGTTGACAAGAAGGGAGTTCCCCAGCCTATAGGTGTGTTGCTGGTTCCTTCTCCCTAGACGCATCACCTTGCACTTGTCTGCGTTGAATTGCATCCCATTCTCATCTGCCCACCTCTGTAACCTGTCTAGATCCAGCTGGATTCTGTCCCCCCGCTCCAGTGTGCCCGCTTCTCCCCACATCTTTGTGTCATCAGCGAATTTGGACAGCGTGCTTTCCATGCCCACCTCCAAGTCACTGATAAAGGTGTTGACTAGCACAGGCCCACGGACCAAGCCCTGGGGAACTCCACTGCCCACATCCCTCCAGGTTGAAAACGACCTGTCCGCCACCACTCTCCGGGTGCGACCATCGAGCCAATTTGCCACCCACCTGACTGTGTAGGCGTCAATGCCACAGTCGCCTACTTTTTTTTATGAGAATGGGGTGATAAAGTGTCAAAGGCCTCCTTGAAGTCCAGGTAGATGACATCTACCTCAACGCCTGCATCCAAGGACTTGGTGACCTGGTCATAAAAGGAGACAAGGTTGGTCAGGCAGGATCTGCCCACAGTGAACCCGTGTTGGTTGCCCCTGAGCATTACCTCCCATGCTGGGCCCGCGCATGTGTGCTCCTTGATAATTTTCTCATAGGTCTTCCCAAGGACCGAGGTGAGACTAACTGGCCTGTAGTTACCCGGGTCCTCCTTTCTCCCCTTCTTGTAAATGGGGAGCACATTGGCCCTTTTCCAGTCCTTCAATGAAGCTGTGACAGTTTATACCAGCTGAGAAGTTGCTCTGAGCTTTCTGAAGACTCTTAAGGCACATCCCAACAAGCGCACACATGCAGTTTGTGGTGCCTCAAACCCATTTGAGGCAGTGCAAACTGCACGTGGCACACAAGTACTCATTTGCCATGCTGCTAATTTGCAGTGCAGTGGGGGGTTTTGACACCAGGAGATTCTGGTGTAGAAAAAAAATGGCTATGTACCGCACATGGCAGCAGCAAGCACCACCAGAAACTGGAGCCTGGCCAGCCAGAGTCATTCTCTGGCTGCTGGCCAGGCTCTGAGCAGCTGGCTCAGCACTGCGCTGCCCCGGGAGGCCTCCAGGACCCCAGGTAAGGCTGCTGGGGCCAACACAGGTGCTGCCCCCAGCCTCCCCTACCCCACCTGGGATGTGCCTGGGAACAAATAGCAGTGGCACAAATATGTGCCACTGTTATTTGTCCCGCAGAAAATGTGTGCCCCCGCACATGCGCGCTTGTCAGGACATACCCCTATAGTTGTGCAGCCTCCAAGTTTTGTTTGCCTTATTTAGCAAAACCATGGCTCAATCTACATTTGCCTCAGCAACGTTTCCCTCACGTTTGTTTTCTGATCTCAGCTGCTCAGGGGAAATAACACTTACTTTCTTGGAATTACTCAAGAGCTATACTGGTGTATTCAGAACAGAAACTCACCCATAGTCTGCATCCAGTAGTGGCTTACATATATTTAGGGATCTTACTTATCAAAGTAAGTTCTCCTTCATACTTCAGTAATTAAGGATCTGAAAATACTTTTCAAATACTGTAGAGTTTATTGGCATTTGGGGGATGGGAATATTTTCTGCATGCTTTTAACTAAAATTATAAATTCGCCATGTGTAATAGTTCATCTGTGTTCACTGGCTGGCCGACTCATGGCCATTGCACTGAATTCCTATGAAAAATGAACAATTGCTGGTGATCCCTGAGGGCAGATGATCAGTTATTGGCTCCTCCATGGACTAAAGCCAATCAGCAGACACGGGAGTAACATGTTAGGTTACTTGAATATTCTTGCATCATTGTTTTCTTCCCAGGAGCTATTTCTAGTGTTTGATAAAGTAAAATCTTTTGTTTTTTCCTGAAGCTTAAAGAATTAAAGTTGAAGACGCCGTTCACTGTATATATTCTAGTGAGAAATCCCTGCCCGCTCATTGTTTTGAGCTGATTCTTTCAGTTTGTTCATGTTTTGGTGTGTTATATCCCCTTTCTGTACATAACACTGGGTTCACTAAGGAAGAAGGAGGGCTCTGACATTCCCAGGGATGGTTTGAATACATAAATTCTTATTTAGAAGAATGCTGGATAATAGGGGTGTGCGAAACGGGCCCTGTTCAATTCAGATTCGGCCCGAATCAGGGACAGTGATTTGATTTGTTGATTCAGATCCCTGTCCCCGATTCAATTTGGCCAAATCTCAATCTGAAGATTCAATGCTGATTCGGAGAACCAGTGATTCGGCCATAGACACAGCTTTAAATGTTTTTTTCTACATACCTCGAGGTACCAAGCACGGTTTGTGATTGCTGCGATGCTGGGGTGAATGGAGCATCTCACAGAAGCGCAGGGGGCCCCCCCATGTGCTCGGCAGCAAACCCGGAAGTGGACCAGAAGTACTTCTGGTCCACTTCTGGGTCTTCTGGGGGGGCCACCACACCCCCCCAGCTCAGCAGTCAGCCACGGGGGACCCTGGGTGCCCCCCCAACCCAGAAGGCACCAGTCACCTAGCCGGATAGGGTGCAGGGGGCGCCCCTAGCGTGCTCTCCAGTGGACCCGAAAGTGGATTGGAAATGGTTCTGGTCCACTTCCAGATCTGCTGCCGAGTGCGCTGGGCAGCCCCCTGCACTTCTGTGGGACACCGCATGTGCCGCAGCATTCACGAGCCGCCTGCTACCTTGAGGTATGTAGAAAAAACAGTTAAAGCTGTGTCTGTCCAAATCTCCGAATCTCTCCGAATCGATTCAGAGGGTTCCGATTCAATCTGGAGAGATTAAAGGGTCCTCTGATTCAATTTGGATTCAAAGATTCAACCACCAGATTGGGCCAAATCTCTGCCAAATCGAGTCAGGGCTACTGGAAGCTTTGCACAGCCCTATTGGATAAGTTTAGACCCAGAGCCAGATCCAAATGTTGCCTCCTGGACTCATTTCTAAACCTGTGGTTCATAAAGAGCTGCAATGACTTAAAACATGGGCCATATCATGGAACACCTCAGGTTCTTGTCAACTTTCTAGAGAGAGCCGTGCTAGAGAAGTGACCAAGGCACAGCTGTCAAATAGGGATAAGACTCTTTACTGTGGACCTAAAATAAACTGACCCGTTTAACAAAAGCTCCTCTGCATTCATGCACAGTGTTGAATAGATAGACACTGACTGTGAAGTGGCTGAAAGGTTTTCTCTCTGATTGTCACTGAATATCAGTCTGCCTTTTTTTACTGAGACCTCCCCACCCGCCCCTTCCCCACTGTGCAAATGCTTTTGTTTCAGATCATGACTGATTCCGACAATTGGCTTGTCTATTCAGTCTCCCATCAAGGAGACTTCCACCCTGTTCCTAGGCCCTCCAGTGAACTGAATCAGGGAGCTGTCTCCTTGTTGCTGGAACCTGAGTGTGGGGATTAACATTTTGTCCTTTCCTCTTACAGGACTTGTACCTGCCTCTGTCTTTGGACGACTCTGATTCTCTTGGGGATTCCATGTAAAGGAACACAATGCCAACTGTCCGTGCTACGAGCTCTGTTAAAAATACAGTACAGTACTTCTGCCAAATGAAGCAGATAGGTGACTGGGTGCTTTCAAATCAATCAAAGGACACACAATTCTATGTAATTTTTTTTTCTGTGATTTATCTTCTGTGCCACAAATCAACACTTATCAACTTATAGGGATAGAGTGATACCATTCTGCTGGATAACTTTACAGGGATGCATAAGGGGCATTGCCAGCAATCTCAGGCTACCATGCCAATGATTTCCCCTTCTCTTGTATTAGTTCTTCTTCTGCTCTAACTGCATGAATTTACTATTGGCTGTAGAGACCTTGATAGCTCCCTACTAGTTCTACAGAAGTGAATCCTGTTGATTATTCTAAAGCTAAAAGAAAACAAATGTCCCTTTCTACCTTCTCACAATGCTGATGAATAGTAGCAGCTCTGTGACTGCAGATCTGCTTCTCATTTTGTGTCTGATTTTCACACATGCGTACTCTCTATTGTCATTTTCTGTGGCTGAATAGCAGGAAAGGAAATGGCTTATTACCATAAGAGGCTTAGGATGCCACCAGAATGTGGAACAAAGAATATTGGACCAGTTTCAGAAATGCTGCCTAAGACAGTGAGCAAAGTTTGTATAGCACAATGATGACATCATACATTTATATCAGGACATTTCTAATAAGTAAGCTAAGATATATATGTCAGCTGAGTGTCTGGCATGAACCAGATTTATCATAAAACCCAAAGATAATGCTGGCTGATAATAAGTTATTATATCTACGGCATGGTATCTCTCTATCTCTGCTTATAATCTTAATGCCTTGTAAACATCCAACGCTGAAAACACTGTGAGAATTTGTTTTCAGGTCTGACACCTCTAGGTCGCTTTTTATAGCAAGAAATCAATACACTTTTTATAAGAAAAGAACTTGTATCTGTGTTTTAGGAGTAAGTATTCAAGCTCCTTCTTTTTTATAAAAGCTGGTAATTTTCTTTTGTTTAAAAAACACATTAAGAAAAAAAATGACAAAAAAACAACTACTGCAAACTAGTAATAATAACAACTTAGTTTAGAAATCTTGTTGTCACTGCCAAACAGGCACTTGCAGGAAAAAAGGAAGTCGATTTGAAATAATGAATGTTTTGATAGTTTTTGTAATGTTTAAGCTAGCATTTTTAAGGTTTTTCTTTACACTTCAATACTCCTAACTATGGCCAGATGCTCTACTTATATCACAGATGAAACTTTGAGGTGTTCAAAGAAACTCTTCTAGCAGAAAAGAAAAAACTCTTAGGGGATTTAGTGAAAGTCATCACTTTTATTAATCAGTAATGAATCCTACGGGACTCATCGCTATATTCCACAGAGCTGGTGGTTTTTACTATGCCTAGACTGTAATGGTTTAGGCTAGTTGGTATTGCCTCTGTTTCTTACGGAATAAGCTTTCAGTGAGACTGACTACTACAGAACCGGACCCAAATGAAGTCCTTGCAAACGAACGTTTTGTGTTGCTCTCTTTTACATTCGTTCAGCACATATGCAGATTTCCGTATTTCTTTTCAATCCCTTTGAGTAGAATGAATTATGGAGTCGTGGTGTTTGATGCCACATGAATGCTTAGCTAGAAGATGATTTGGTTTCATTCCTTTCAGAAGCCACTTTGTATTTTGTTAGTTTGCATTGCTACTATTAACACTCTGTACAGGCTGCGTTGTTTTTTTTTAATTCACATGACGATACATACAATATATAAAAGCAAGCTGCAGCTGAGATGATCCAAAAGAAGATGATCGGGAATTACCAAGGGATTGGAGTTATGTTATACCAAATTTTCACCCAGTAGTCTTAGGTGCAAACATTTGTTCCTAGGGTTTTTCCCACGAAATGATTTGTGCGCCTACAAACAGCTGAATTTAGATGTGTAACTCCCTGGCCACATGACTGAGAGCTGGATATTTGACCTACTGCATCAAGACACCTGAATGCAGTTTAGAGAGGTGAAGGTTCACATTCCCTCATAGGGAAAGCTCTCTATTAAAGAAAGATGGCCGTGGAGACAAAGCACAGTTGTGGCAGTCAGGAATCCAAAGTTCAATACTCAGCTAGATTTTGTGTATGAACTGGAGCAGGTCTCCATTTTTCTGTGCCTCTATAGCTGTCTGTACCAGGAGGATAATAACACTGCTCTACCTCACGGGAGGTTTGTGAGGCCACATATTCACTGAAGTTGGAAAAGTGCTTTCAGATTCTCTGATGCTGAATAACGGCAAGGAGTAGCTGTTTGTGGACAAAGGTTTTGGGGGTGTATATTCACATGGGTACTAAATTAGAGACCATTCTTGAAAATATGGCTTTTTAAATAGAAAGATAGCATAGACTGTGATTTGTTTCTGCAAAGTATACTATTAAATCTAGGGCCTTTCTTTCAACAATGAGAAGACACGTTTGCCTTTGACACAACAAAAACATGACCATTCTTTCCCCTTCTCCTCCATTTCCCTGTTCGGGGGATCTTGAGGATCCCCACCAGTCTTTTGCTTTCAGCCCATCTAGAGATCCTGCTCTGAACAGTAGCCACCATCTTACTTGCTCAAGTTGACTAACCAGGAACTGAGTGACAATGACAATTGTTAATTAGACAGGGGACGTGTTACCTGAGTGATGCAAGGTGCTCCTTCTGTATCCATGGTCCAAAGTGCCTTGCTGCCCGTCTCCTAGTCCCTGTCAATCTAGGAAGCAAGAGACCAGCTACAGCATTCATTTTAAGGGCTTCCTTAACTGCAGAACAACTTATCAATAGCCTGCACATCCAGGCTGTCATATCTATAAGAGGTCTGAGGCATGTAACTAACAGCACTACTCCACAGTGTTTAAAAATCTACTGGGAAATTACTTTTCTTTTCTCCAGTATCCATCCAGGTCAGCTTGCCTGAGACAAAGCTGGAACAATCTGGGTAACACGGATACAGAGGTAGATAGTTACCTTTGCATCTGCACCTACCATTTAGATAATGAGAAGAGCTCCTCCTATGGGACCTTTCTAAAGAACTGTTCCAAGCACTCTTCCTGGATTGTTCTTCAAAGCCACACATCACAGAACTTGCAAACTCTTACTTATAGAAGGGGTGTCACTGTCACAAGGACTGCTCAGGAGCAAGGGCTGAGTTTGACGATCATTTCTGACCATATGATGCATCAGCAAGGGAATTTAGAGAGGCCTAAGCAAAAAAACCATGTTCTTCAGAGGGAAAAAATAGCCATTCAAACCAGCAAAAGCCACAAGTAAAACAGGGTGAGAGTTCAAACTCCCATGTTTTAGAAGCAATTTTCCAGGTAGAGATACCTGGACTGTAGGTAGAAGTCTGTGAGCATTTCAGATGTAACACATTGTTAGTCTGTCGTAATGCTGCTGTTGCATGAGTACTTGTACAGAAATGCATGTAGAATAGCGTACATACTGTGCGAGGTCTCTTTGGCTTCACAGGATCCTGAAAACAGACAGGACAAAAAGAAATGAATTGCAGGCAGAATATTATAGTCATCAGAATGGGCCTGGTTCAGGAGAACATCTAAGCGTGTGTTTAATTCCCACTGACTTCAGCAGGACTTAAGTCTGGGTTTGAGTTCTGCCTTGAAAACCGTCTAGATGAGTTCTAGGAGCAAACTAAAGGAATACTTCTGTATCCTCCAAAGTTTATACTTTTTTTTCTTCTTCTTCTTCTCTTATAAGTACATAAAACTCTGCAGGATCTGAGGATTTGCCATATTAATTCTGCTGTAAAAGAGCTGTCTGATTTCCCCCAGGAGGTTCTCTATGTGTTTTCAGAGACTAATTGAAGCACTGCATAGTTTTAAAACAATACAGCATTTAAAAACAGCACTGGTGGAAACTTAAGGCTTTTTAGAGGTCTATTTGTGAGATATGACTTCATTCCTTTATTTCTACATTTCATGGTGCTTGCATATTATGCATTATCCAAATTAAGGAGGAATTAGAGCAGTTCTGAAGCCATAAAGGAACCAAGCCTCCATTGCAATGGCCGTTTTTTCTGTAGAAGATCAGGGCCGTAGAGTATAACATTTAATGATCGATCCTTCTGAATTTTTATTTTTTTTAATATGAGCCAGATCATCTTCTGGTATAAAATGTGTAGCTAAAACAGCTGTACAAATCTTGTCTCTAATAGACATCTATGGAGCCCCTGTGGTAGACTTAAGAGAGATTAGTGATTCAGTTGTAATTTGGTATGGTTTTGTGATGAGATGTAAGGCTTCCTTTTGTCCTAAAATGCTCTCTGTTCTTAACCTCGGCAAATTAACACATGGTCTTTCCAGGTGCTAGCAACTCTCTTTGAATTACTTTCTCTGCTATCAGGAAAAGCTAGTTTTGCCTAGAAAATAGGGACTACATTTCTTTCACCTTTTCCATTATTCACATATGGGCCAGCTGTCATTTAACCTTTCTCAAATATTTTCCATAAACCCTAATTTTGAATGAACATAAGAGGTAGAGGAACTAAAAAGATATTGGCACACAACAAAACAATATCACAAGTCATTTTTAATAAGTAAAGGTGGTACAAAAATATGTTTTCCTTTAAGATTAGAAAACTATGAGACCTTTTTCTGATGTCTTGGTGCTTGCTTCAGAATGCCTTTGCCTGCACTGTTTCATTATGTGACAGTTCTGGGATTGCTGTTTGGGGGCCATACTGTATCCTTGCTGAGGTGCAACTCCATTGACAGGCATCAGTGGAAGTCACTAAGGGCACAATATAGCCCTAAAGATGCAATCCTATTCCGTGTATTGTCAGCACATTTTGTCATTTGATTGGGAGCACAGTAGGATGTTTAATAAATCTCTGTCCTTCACCTGTTGAGTCAATGGGGAAAATTTCCATTAATTTCCATAGAAGCAAGATGAATTCTTAGGAAATAAAGAAGCAAAATGGATACAAAGATAGGTAGAAAGAAAACCCTCTGCCTTGTTCCAAGCAGAGAAATCTGAAACTGTGCATGGAGCATTCTGATGTACAAATGATTATACCGTGCATAAATATTTACATGTAGCTGAGATGAAAGAAAATAGTTTATTGTCTTTATTGGTGATTTTACAGATGTGCTGTCAAGTATTAATGTTACCTTGCTGATCCAGTATCAAAGCAGACTAAGCTGGTTTCCAGGTTCTACTTGGTCATTTGGATTAGGATGGTTTAAAGAGTTTGCAAATACAAGGCAGAACTCCTCACCTCTAGGTTGAGTGGTCCAGTTCAAAGAGGCATGTGTGTTTGCAATAGGGTAACAGCTTTATTAGTGATAACATAGAAATGATACAGCTAGCACTCTCTCTGAATTTAGAACTGTTACCTCTGTGGCTAGGTACAGAAATTACACATAAACTGGTATAAATGAGCACAAACGTGTTCAAATCTGTAACATGACAGAAGTTCAGTGCACATAAACCACTTTCAAAATGGCCAAAACCAGTGTAAGATACCCTTGGATAGATATACTGTCAGACTTAACTGATTTAGGTTAAATTGATTTATTAAACTTCTGTCACAGATCCCCTCCAGATTCAAGTTAACTCACAGTCCCCCAGCATCCCAAGATACTTTGCACCTCTCCTGCAACACCTCCCCCCCACCCCCGCAGACGAGCAGGTTAGCCTTGGCCCAAGCTATCTGCTCCAGCCAAGCAGGGAGGCATACTCTGGTGCCCCCCCCCAGCTTCTGACCTGGGCCACTTTAGGCATGTGGCTGCATTTCCTATATCAAAAGTAAGTGTCTGTTCACTTGCTTATCAGTTCAATCTATGCAGCGTAGACTAATGTGAGAAGATTGAAAAAAATTCAGCTTCTGGCTTTTTGACCGTCTGTACTTAGCCCCTAAGTGTGCCTTCCAATACATCTCCCCTCTGGGCTTCAGAAATACTTAGTAATACTGAAAAGTCCAATTAGGCCTGAATATAAACTGGCAGATGGGGCAGACTCCCTGAATATCTAGCCTGCTGAGATTATTATTCAGTCTCATATTTATCCAGCTGATTCTCCATTAACATACTGGGAAAATGATGGTATCATTTATCACAGGTTCATTCTGAGTGGTGGCACTGATGCCCTCTCACACCATGCCCGTGGCTTTGAGGAGTCCTGCTCAGTGGTGTCTCAGGCATGAGATGAGGCTAGTAAGGTCTCCTAGTGGGCTGTGTATTAGGAGTCCAAGTGTTCTGGCTTCTACAGTAATGGATCCTATTGTTGAGTGTTGTTTCCTCCCCTCCCTTTTTTTCTTGACCTGAAATCCAGTAGCTCTAGTAAAATAGACAGCTGACAAGCTCGGTTTGAGGTGAGTTATTGAGGCCTAGAAACCGGCCCCTGCACTCTCATCCAGTGCCCAAACTGTTCCTGCTTCTGGGCTGTGTGGAGCTATTGCTTCTGGCCAGAATACTATCGCCTGCTAAACCCCTCTTTTTGCAAAGTACGTATATGCCTGGTTGGGGCTCCTGGTGCTACTAGCCAAAAGTTGGGCCCTATATTTGTAAGCACTGAACCAGCTGCATCTCTCTAACTTTAAGGATTCCAGTGGCCTTACATCCCAGAAGCCAGGGGACCTGTTG